TTTCTTTTTTGGTGGTGTCTTTGGTTTTGGTATCAGTGTGATGGTGGCTTCAAAGAATGTCTTTGAGTGTTCCCTCTTCTTCAGTTTTTTGGAAGAGCTTGAGAAGGATAGGTATGGTATGTTAGATAGAATTCACCTATGAAGCCAACAGTAATGTCTTAAAAGACAATAGATTAATATCACAACCAGGAAATTGACATTGGTACAACCCACAGATCCTGTTCAGATGCCCAGTTTTACTTGTACTCACTGTGTATGTGTTTACTTTCTATGCAATTGCATCACCCACACAACTTCCTGCATCTGCCACAGTTGGGATGCTGCCCGCTCCCATCTCCACATGGACCCGTCCACCACGCCCACCTCCCTCCCACCCCCATAATCACTGGTGTGGTGTCCAGCTCATGTGATTCCAATGTGTAGCCAGGACTGAGAGCCACCGCTCCATCCTCATCCTTGAGCTGCTGGGAGTATCTTGTCTGAACAGATGCACAAACCACAACCCACACAAGGGATGGGGCTCTCCAGGCACAAACCCAGCACGCAGTTCAGTTCCAAAACCGAGATGCGAGGAGCCAGGTCTCCTGGGCCTCACCCGGAGAAGTTGCTCAGGATTTGGAGCGTTTCATCCATTTGTTGATCAAAGACCAAGTTCTGCCCCAGCAGCAGCTGGAATACCCAGGGCATTTTTGGTCAACTTCTGCCTGCCAGGTGCCAGGGGGGAGATGCTGTTGGAAGGCCAAGGTCAGGGACGTCCTGTGCCCCCCTGTGTAGCATAGTCAGCGGTATCCCTGGCCTCCACCCACTCGAAGCCAGCAGCACCCTCTCCTCTAGTTGTGATGCAACAGTGACTGCCCGCTTAGTCACTGACCCCACCATCAACAATGCACCGATACTTGGGCACTGGCTGTGTTACTGCGTCAGAGCAGCCTGTCGACACCCACCTACTTGCCGGGACACAGCCGGCCCTGTCGCCCCCAGCTCATGGTGTCCATCCTGACCTGAGATTTTCAGCCCAGAGTAATCTAAACCCAGCTGCTACCTCCCCTTTTTCAGGATGTGACCAGAAGTTAATGGGGTGGGCGTTGGCATCTCTTGCCTGCCCATCATGCCAGCCAAATGTCATTACTAGTGATTTTGCCCCATTCTGCAGATGAAGAAGCTGAGGCTCAGGGAGTCGACGTGACCTGGCAAGGCCCACCCAGCTGGGAAGCGGCAGAGTGAGCATCTGCCCCTGGGCCTAACACCAAAGTCCACATCATCTCGGGCGGGTGTCCATCCAACTGCAAGATGCGGCGACATGCGGGAAGGGACCAGAAACAACGCTGCTTGTGTCTCCGCCTGGAGCTGAGCCACCTGCCACCCTGGGAGAGCCCTCATGGGCAGCAGCTGTGTGGTTGGCACCCTCCCTTGGGGTCGTTCCAGGGCTGTAAGAGCCTCCTTCATGGAGGGAAGTGTTTTGCCAGGAAGCAGAGAGTGGGCCATGGAGCCAGCACCCTCGAAAGCCTGTTAATAATTAGGCTGCTGTCGGGCGCGCGCCATGGCTCCTTGGACACCAGCCCACCGGCGACCCGGGCCATTAATCCCCCTGCTGTGGGTCCTGCCAGCAGCGCCTAGCTGGCTGGAGGAGACAGTGAAGAGGCAGGAAAGCCACATACAGACCTTCCTTGGTCAGTGCCTCCCTCAGTAGGTCCTTTAACCTCACCCAAGTCCCACTGGTCACTGCCCACACACAGCCTAGCTCTAAATGCCTGTTGCCCAGTTAATCCTCACAACTGGAAAGGGAAGTTATGTCACCCTGCGCCTTCCTAGGATGCTTTGCTGAGGAAGGTGGCATCATGAGGCCCCTTTTACAGGTGAGCAAAACAGACTGTAAGTAGAGATTTCAATCCAGGCGGGCTGGCTTCAGAGCCCACGACCGAAGTACTGTGCCACAGCACTCCTTATACATTTCCCTAACATCAGCTCACAGATAAGAGCTAAATTCCACTCCAGAAATCCCCCCGAGGGAAATAGATCTTCTTCTTCTTGGGCCGAGATGAGAGATTGGTGCATTTGTGTTGGCTGTGGTTTCCCTGGCCCCACCACGGTACATACACAGCATATAGGAGGGGCCAACATATACCAACTGTATGACTGGATGGATGGATGAAGAGATGAATAGTTGGATGGATGGACAGACGCATGAATGCACGAATGGCATCACGACATATGAAGGCATCCTAAGGGCTAGGCGTATGCTGGGTGCTTTACCCCAATCTGAGTAAAAAAATTTTTCATCCTCAAAGCCACTTGGTCAGGTGGATACGAGGATCCCAGATGTACCAGTGAGGAGGCCATGACTCTGGAAGGCCCAGTTCTAGGGCCCCAGTGACCCCACTCTGGGCTCAGGCCTAGTCCAGTCCCAGCTCAGAGAATGCGGTCACTGAGCGCGTGCCCTGCGCCCTGCTCTAGAGGGGGGCATTCAGCAAGGAACAGACAGATTGCAGCCCTGCTCGCATGGAGTTGACACTGTCAAACAGGGAAGAGAGCAGGGGATGCCAACAGCTGGGGGAAGAGGGAGGGCCCTGAGGCTGGAGGAACAGCAGCGAGGTGAGCAGGCGGGTGAGCCGGGGGCTCCTCTCTGGCCCAGGTTGCCCTCCCAGGGGAGAGCTGTGCAAAGCGCCGAGCCCAGACCTGACACACAGCAGGCGCACAACCAACTTTGGTCCCCCTTCTCCTTCCACAGCACTGGGGCACTCACCTGGAAGAGCAGGTGTGCAGGGCCCCCTGGTCCCCTTCTTCAGGGTTAATGCTGCACCTGCCCCTCTTCATGAAGTGGGTGAACTTTAAGCACAACATACCCACAGGCACACGCGGGTCCCATGGCCATTTGGGATCTGGCCCGGGACTTTAACACTGAGCATCAGGCTAAAATCAATCCCCCACCAGCCTCTCACACATGCCTCTCATTCTAAGGGTGACAACCTCACAGCTGCTTTTCCTTGAGCATCTCTACCCCCTGCCCCCCAGCCCCTCCGGCAAGGCAGCCTGGAGGGAGTGGGACACTGTCGTCCGGGGTGGGGGGAATGTGTTCCACTGGAAGGCAGATTCTTGACCAGAGGACCACCAGGGAAGCTCCCAAGGGAAATTCTTGCCACACATGTCTTAGAACCCAAACTGGGCCACGCACATAACACCCACATCAGTGCTCATCTTCAGAGCAAGCCCAGGAGGCAGGTATGATCAGCCGCATTTTACAGAAGAGGCAACTGAGGCACGAAGACTAAGTGCCTTGCCCAGGGTCACACAGCCTGCAGAGGATGAGGGCAGGACTCAAGTCCATCCACCGTGCCATGCTGAGTCCCCACCAAACCCCACCTGATTCTTAACCTTTAGTTTCCCAATTCCAAGAGCTCCCGCTAGAAACACCACACTTGCCAAGGAGTAAGGACAGCAGCAGACAAGAGAGTGCCCCGTCCTGAGTCCTGGAGAGAGAGCGGGAATCCTCGCTAGAAAGAAAATGCAACAGTCATTTAGAAAGAAAATATTTTTTTTTACTGCAAATTATTTGCAAATGTTCACGTTTCCAGTGTAAGTCATTACAAAAAGATCCCCAAGAAACACTTGGTTTAGCTAATGTGAAAGAATGGTTTAACTTACAAAAAATAAATATATATTTCCACCTAAAAGGAGAAAGATGCTTCTCTGGTTTGAAGTCAGCAATGTAATTCACATAGCGAGCATGAATAGCGACCTCTCTCTGCTTTTTGGGTCTCACTTTGGTCTCCAATTGAGGGACCTACAGGGCTAAGACAGACCCCAACCTCCAGAAGCTGGGCCAACCTGGTCATTCCCTGGGGTGCTGCTCCTCGGCCCAACGCTTCCTCCCAAGAAATTAAAGTCTTGAGACTGTTTATCTCCCTGGAGCAGTACTTTAAAAAAAAAAAAGAAAAAATCACTGACACTTGTGAAAAGGTCTTTTTCTTGTCTCAGAAGAGACTCAGTAACCGTTAAGTTATCCACTGTGCTGGCCTTGACAGTGAACCAGTGGCCCCCGGTGAAAAACCGAAATCTAAAAACAAGGAGGGGACTCACGGGGGCTCTTTTCAGTACCAGCTGCTCCCACCCAGAGGGACTGGTGCTCTTGGCTTAGAACACTTCGTAACGATGAGCAGGTTTTCATTCTCAGGCACCTGGAGGTGTAAACCCATTCTAGCCGTGGGTAAAAAGACAGAGGGAGGAAGGCAAAGACTGAGGTGGGTAAGGAGGTGAGCAGCCAAGAGGGGAAGCCAGCACTGAGAGGCCTCACAGCCTGGACTTCCAGGCCCGGTCACCCCGAGTCCAGCCAGCAGGTTCCGTTGGAGGCAGGGCTGGGAGGCTGGTTCCCAGCGTCTGAGCACCTGGTAGACCAGATGGCTTGTGAGAGGGCCATCAGTGGTCCTTGGGACACTGCCCAAGGGTGAGCACAAGCTTCATCAGGCCCCTCACCTCCAATTGCAGCCCTGGAGAGACAAGCATCTGGGGAGAGCCAGGCAAGGACGGAGAGGTGTCGGGGATGCCGGGGACCAGCGAGCATCTCCAAGGCGCGGAATCCACAGACTTCAGCTGGAAAGACCTGAGGCAGTTGGCTGGATTTGGTCACTAGCAGATTTTACACAACCGATTTCTCTGGAAGTCTGCTGGCCTGAATGTCCCCACAGAGCAGGGAGAACACGTGTGCCCTCCAAGGGGCGTGAGAACGTGTGTGCATCTGCGGGGGCTACAGAGCCAGGGGCATGTGTGCATCATTGCGGGGGGAGGGGCTGCATCCCAGCATCTCCCATTTCTTCATGGCCAGTTCCAGGCAAGGGCCTGAGGGCAGCTGCTCTGTGTGTGTTTTGGTTTGGGAGGAAGGGGCGGTTTTCATTTTTTTTTTTTATTTCAGTCTATGAGAAGCTTGGGTTCCCAAGGATGCTGACTTGTCCTTGACTGCTGGCAGGTCGGCCCTGCAGTTCTGACCAGCTGCACCCACTCTGGGCTCACACCAAGCCAGCATCTTTGGCCATGCTGTAGAAGACACCTCTCCGCTGCAGGAGGTCGGAGGGGGAGCCCCACTCCCGGACCTCCCCTTTGTCCAGGACGATCACCCTGCAAGGGAGGGACACAGACGTGAGGTGTGGGGTAGGGGCTGGTACCTTGTGCCCCAGGAGTCTACTTGGGCAAGCCCCTGCTTTGGGTCAGACCCTCAACACCCTCTACCAGGCCTGCTGCAGCAGCCGTCCACCTGGCTGCCTGGCCTCGACCCCAGTTCTAGTCAACGCCCTGTGATGTAACCTTCAGCACTCTCTTATGACCTTGTGTATTTCCCTCCCAGCACAATTTGCTTTTATTTGTTGCTGTGTTTATTGTCTATCTCTGCACCCAGCCCCCAACTAACTAATCCATAAGGTCCCTTAGGCAGGCTCCTTGTGTGACAGCTCCTGGCTCGGTCCCCAGTGTCTGGAACGGAGCCAGGAATGTGGCAGACAATCCACACACATGTTAACTTTTGACTGAGAGATGGCAAAAATGCCTGGTACTAACCAGGCCAGAGACACACCAGGGCTGTCACTAGGCCTAAGGTCAGTGTTGCATGAATGAATGAATGAGTGGGTGAACAGGGTGGGGGGGGGGGGGCGGTGGACCATGAGACCGGGAGGCCTTCTGGGCCAAGAGCATCACCTCGTGTAGTCCATGATGGTGTTGAGCCGGTGAGCGATGGTGAGGACGGTACAGTCATCAAACTGTGTCCGGATGGTGGACTGAATGAGATTGTCCGTTTCCAGGTCCACGGCCGCCGTGGCCTCGTCCAACACCAGGATCTTCGTCTTTCTCAGCAGGGCCCGGGCCAGGCACACAAGCTGGCGCTGCCCGACGCTAGACCAGGCGAGAAAGACCAGGAAACGACTGTCAAACCCACCCCCGACGCTGAGCCCAGGCCCGAGCTGAGAGGAGGGAGAGGAGACCCTTTCTGCTGCTCAGACCAGGAGAGCACTTCCACCTCCCACATCTGCAGCCGCATCAGCCACACTAATCAATCAGCACGGTCTTCCTGCTGAGCTAGAAGCACTCTCAGATTCATTCTCCACACAAAGCTCAGAGGTGATAGCCAAGGTATCTGATCAGTTCAGTATAGGGAGTAGAACAATTAGCAAACTGGCCCCATATCCGTGCCTTCTGCAGGGCCTCTCTCAGTGGACCTTGGACTTGACCTTTGTGCCGGCTTTGTCCACTGGGATGCTGGCAAACCTAGAGGCTTGGAACGGGGATGCACACCACGGTGTGTTCACACCTGCACCTCTGCCATCACCGTGACATGCCTAGGCTGGTCTGCCAGGGAAGGAGGGACACATGGGGCAAAGACTAACGGCCCCAGTGGAGGCCAGCTAGAATATCCACCTGCAGCCAGTGGCCCCCACCCACGTGGGTGAGCCAAGACTAGCAGAGCCGCCTGGCTGGCCACCCCCATGTGTGAGTGGCCACGGCTCTTGGTGAGCACACCTGAGGGTTGGTGCTTGGTTGTCATGGTGACGGATGCAGTGAGAGAGGCACAGGGTCCCTGCTGTGCCAGGCATCACCACTCTAGTTGCTGGATCCTGGGTGGAGCCTGTGGGAAGGGCCAGGCAGCTAGGGCTGTGGGTAGGGGAAGGGAGGGCTCAGAGCAGTGCTGTTTACTGCCTGGGAGAGAAGCCTTTCCAAAATTTAACAACTTCACTCTCCACCAAATGGACCTGGGGTGAGAAAGGAGCTGTTGGGATCATCCTGATTACACCTCAGGGTAAAAATGAGCCCATCATGAAACCTGTTTTAGATACTGAACCTTGAGGCCCAAGAGGTTAGGAGACAAATGGCTCACATGGCAGAGTTGGAACTCAAGCCCAGGTCTGAACCTGACACAAATAGACAAAACCTACCAACACCCCGAGAGAGGTGATAAGGAGGCCCGAGCATCACGCTTGCCTACCTCAGGTTCTCTCCGCCTTCCGCGCACTCGTGGTTCAGTTTATCGGGAAGGGCCGACACGAAGCCCTTCAGGTGAGCCAGCTCCAGGGACGTCCAGACCTCTTCATCCGAGTACTGGCTGAATGGGTCCAGGTTCATACGGAGGGAACCCGAAAACAAAACTGGGTCCTGTTTGGAGGGAAGACAGCAGATGGCGTGTGAGGCTCAAGGCACAGTTGGACATGGGTGGGGTAAATAGGTGGAATGTAGAAAGTTCTTGCCAGAATTGTTCAACATGGGGTTTTGGAGTTCCTTCGAATCACCACTTCTGAAGATGTCAAAGATGGGGGTAAAAAATCTGGAAAACTGAGTTAAGGGAAATAAAACGGATTTCTTTCTTGTTAGATTTCCTGGAGCATTCAGTACACAAATGTGTTGGGAACTTTCTGGAAGCAAGAACCAGCACACAGATTAGGGCAATTCCTAATTGCAAGGTACATGGATGTGCCTCCGTCTCCTGCCTCCAAATAAGAATCTGAGAAGAAATTTAAGGCAACACAACACTAAAAGGCAATATACTATGCAATCGCCACCTACAGGAATCAATCTAGAAAATTCATCATTCTCACCTAGTTCTCGGGAGGTGAGAGATTCCTGTCCGGCAGAGAAACCAGTGTCTTAACTTGATGCTGTGAGATGTTTAGGACCCTGCCTACTGGGTGACAAGAGTGAAGGAATGAATGAAACCTACTTAACTCTCCGTTATTTACGTGCGAAGGGGAGATTCCATGAAGAAACATAGCATAATTTCAGTAAAAAGTCACAAAAACCACAAAGTAGGAACAAGTGTCCATCTGTTCTGAAAACACACACGCGTCACTTTCAGTGTAACCCTGCACACCTGGGGGATGATGGTGATCTTGAAGCGGAGGTCGTGCAGGCCGATCTCGGCGATGTTGATGTCGTCAATGATGATCTCCCCCTCGGCTGACTCATTGATCCGAAACAAGCCCAGGGTCAGGGATGACTTTCCGGCTCCTGTCCGCCCCACGATGCCAACCTGTGGGGCAGGAAGGACCCAGGTGAAGTGGGAATGCTGCTATCTGGGCTGACCTCTTGCCCCTCAGCATCCTTAAATACCAGCCACAGAGCAGTTCAGTCATCTGGTCGACCCACCCTCCTCCCACTATATCTACTCCCCTCAGCAGCTTCCAGAGACATTCCTTTAGGGGCTGTTTTGGGCAAAGGTCAAGAAGGACTTCCTTCTCTCTGCCAGCTCCTTTTAGAAATTAAAATTTAATCAGCGCCTTTAATAAGTTAGTTATTTGCAACTCAAGACAGTATTAAGTAACAGTCAAATGGTTTTTCAGTTCTATGATGGTGAGTTTCCCCCATCCTGAGGTGCTGGAATATCTCAAAGGTTCAGGAGGATGCCCTTGTATCCCAGCTGAGTGAGCAAAGAGAGGTCACGGGTACGAGCTGGCCTCCACTTATCCTCTGGAGGGAACTGGGCTCCCCACCTAATGGCTAATGACTGACGTTCCAGGCAGAACGCTCCCCTTCTCATCTGGGCTCGGGAGAGGCAGGCTCCTCTGCCCTCGGACAGCAACTCACAGGGCAGCCTCATTATGGAACATAAGCCAGAAAGCCTCCATGAGAACACCGCCCACTCTGTTCCTCCTGTTACAAGTTGGAGAAACTCTCTCATGGGAACGGAACATTCTGGGCCTCATGGTAGAGCGTTTAACAACTCCTGAATGTTCAGAGAAGAAAGAAACATTGGCCTCTGGCAAATTGCCAGAAAGACCCTTGGTCTGATTCCTCAGGAGGGTCTGAGGTCTCAGGGCAAGGGCGTCCTCTAGGAGCAGCGATACCCTTGAGCCATCCTTAGTAACGAGGAGGGCATCTTTCTATTCTAGAGGCCTAGGGGCCAAGGGGGCACTTGAAAAGGGGAGGAAGGGATTGGTCAGTGAACTGGGAGGCTCATGTCTGATCTAGAAAGAGCCAGGCAGGGAGGATGGGCCTGGTGCTGCCAGAAGTTCTGATCTTTCAAGAAAAGCAGGAAATGGCTTTTTTTTTTTTTAAACATAAAACATTCCAGATTTTTCAGTATTGGCAATTAAAACTGTTTCCAAAATGTATCTCCTCCGGCTCCTGGGATACCAGTCTGCAGCCCTGTTGGGACGCTCTGAGCAGATTTTACTGCCAAAGTCTCGCCTGCTCCACCCTGTGGTTCGGGGGCAGAGACGGCCTGGTGGCAATCTGTGCCTGACCGTGGACGGGCGGGGGTCCAGGGGCACCCACCTTCTCCCCGCCATCGATGGTGACGTTGATGTGCTTCAGAACCAAGTCCAGGTCCTCTCGGTACCGCAGGCCATAATCCCGGAACTCCACTCGGCCCACCTGGGGCCAGTCACTGGGCGGGGCCATATCCTGGATTTGCCAGGGAGCCTGCGATGACAGCGGGCAGTGGGTGGGTGTGAGGGGTCTGAAGCCCGTCTCACGTGTCCCAGGGCTCCACGTGAGCGGCCTCCACGACCCCTCTGACCTCACGGCCCCCTCCTTCCCACTCACTGCCTCACTGCTCCCTGCACTGACTTCTGAACTGTTCCCTGAACACACCCACGTGTGCTGCTTCTGGGCCTTTGCACTTGCAGCTGCTTCTGCCTGGAACATTCTCTGCCAAGCTACCCCCTCGGCCTGTTTGACTGCTGTGGATCCCAAGTTAATGCAACCACCCTCCGAGCCCTGGGCCCCTCTTCTCCCACATTCTCTGCATCCATTCTCTTTGAGAGCACTTAACACCTTCTGGCATTTTAAGCAAGTATTTGTTTATTCTGTCACCCACACCCACTGGAACAGACCCTCTATGAGAACAGGTTCTTTTTCCCAGAGCACGCAGTAGGTGCTCAATAAACATTCGTGGACTGAATCAATGAATGAGCAGCCTCCTCTAGACAGATGCAATGCTAAAGGGGAGATACTCTGATGGCTTCGAAGGCCTGGAGGGTGAGAGTAAAAGCGGCGGCCAACACTTGAAGGTCACTCTATCACATGACCTCCTTTAACCCTCACTACAATCCCAAGAGCGGCGTCCTTTCCCACCCCCAGCTTACACATGAGGAAACTGAAACACAGACAGTGAAAGCAACTTGCCTGCAGTCACACAGCCCCTATTTCTGAAAAGCTACTTTGTTCACTTCACATTTCCTGAGGTCTACTCCTGGATATGCTCTGGGCTAGGCTCCGGGCTCTCTTCAGGGAACAGAGGAATGGAGAGGACAATGAAAGAGAACTTCCATCCTTTCTCCCCCATAAACTTCTTACGTTAACTTTTTTACACCCCTCATATAAATAAGGAGACACTGCTATAAGAACACGGAGGGGACTGGAGAGAAATGGGTGGGACTTTTTACCTGTAAATATATATCATATGTAATATATACAAACACGTAAGTAAACAGATATATTTTAATAGTGGTAAGACTCTGGGTGATCTTTCTCTTGTATTTTTCAAATATGCTCTTATTCTAAAACTATAAAGATAAATAATTAAAGGTAGTGAAAATAAGTACAGTATTTTTAAAAGTAAAAAACTGAATTTCACACTTTAAATGAGTGAACTGCATGGCATATGAATTATACTTCAAAAGCTGATAAAAATAAATAGATAAATCATGGCAGGGTGGGAACCTGCTGGTGTAATGTGCTCTTATTTCCACAGGGGGCACTCACACCATTCTGAAGAAGGCTCCCTGATGAGGTGGGTCCTGGTTCACCAAACTAAAGGACTTGGCACAAGTCACTTCAGTAAATCCCCAAGTCAGAGTCTAACCAGGGTCACTTTAGTTTCATTCCCAAGGGGCGTTTTCTTGGAATGCAGTGATAGTCACTCAGTCATGTCCAACTCTTTATGATTCGTGGACTGTAGCCCACCAGGCTCCTTTGTCCATGGGATCCTCCAGGCAAGAACACTGGAGTGGGTTGCCATGCCTTTATCCAAGGGATTTTCCCAACCGGGGATCAAACCCCGGTCTCCTGCATTGCAGGCAGATTCTTTACCATTTGAGCTACAGGGAAGCAAGCCCATGTGATCTTAGGCAACTAACTAATCCTCTCTGTGTCTGTTTCCTCACCTGCAAAATGGGAGTGATAGTAGAAGGTGAGTTACAAGGTTGTGAAAGGATAAATGGATTATTCTACACAGAGTGTCTAGTACAGGGCCTGACACCGCACAAGGGCACAATGTGTGTGTCCCTATTATTATTGGTGGTGGTGGGGATGGAGGTATCTCCAGGCATTACTGCTATTGCCATTAACACTACTCCTGCTATTCAGAGATGGTGCGCAGACAGAATAAGGCAGTTATTCGGGTCAACGTGACACCAAAACCTTGGGTCCTCCTCCCAGCTGCCCCGCTGACCATGAATGTGACCTCAGACCAGCCATCGTCCCTCACTACATGCCCCTTTCCTCCATCCATAAAATGAGCACTTGGGTTAAAGAACTGCAGGGTTCCCCAAACTTCAGTAAACTCCTTACCAATAATAGCATAATTTTTGCAATATCCATATACTGATTCTCCTGTTACTGATATCTGATATTTTTAAATGACTCACTTGTACTTAACGTTTAAACCTAAACAGAAAATTAGTATGATTCATTTTGCGTAATTTGTAAGTCCCCATTCAAAACACGTAACAAACAACAGAGGGGTTTTTTTGTTTTTTTGGTCAGGTGGAGGCTGCCTGCAGAAGGCACATGCTGGGGTTCAGAGGATTCTTCTGAGTCGAGTTACACCGAAGATCATGGTCAAGCGGTCAGGCCAGGGGCTTGCCTTACCTCCTTCTCAGTTTCCGAATATTCTTTGAGTCTCTCCACGGCCACAATGTTAGTCTCCATCTCGGACGACATCCGAACAAGCCAGTTCAAGTATGTGGTGACCTGTGAGGGAAGAGTCATCCAATGGGGCTTCTAGAGTGAACGTGAGTTGTTTTCTTCCCATGAAGACAGCACGAATTATGAAATGTTTCAGATAACGAAGGCCCAGAAGACAGCTACCTCAGATACCGCGACCAGACCTGCTACTCTGCGTCTCTTATGCCAGCGCCACATTTCAAAATAACCCGCGGGACTACACAAGCAATCAGAAAGGAAATGAGAAGGTATTTCCAATTAGATGATAGTTAAGAAAACACAATGCTTCGAAATTTGGGAGATGCAGCTAAAGCAGTGCCTCGAGGGAAATTGATAGTATTAAGTGCATTCTTCCGGGAGCTGGAGGCATCCTCTCAGGCCGTCAGGGACGCTCCTTGGCTGATGGGGGAGTCCTGGCTGCCCGACTAATCTCTCCCCTGCTTCAGTCAGTCACTGGGCTCTAGACCTGCACCTCAAACTCCACGTGGCCCTCGTTCCTTTCCCCCACGCCCAAGCGCCTGACAACCGGCTCCCCAGTAAGAGAATTAGCAAAGTCCGCCTGAGCGTGCCCATGTCTTACCTGCAGGGAGTAGGACACCGAGAGGCCCACCAAGCCGGCACTGAGGCTGCGCCGTGAGGTCACGGCGAACAGCGAGGCAAACAGGACGATGCAGTTGCCCACGCACTCTAGCCGCACGGCCAGCCACCTGCGTGGACACAGGCGGAGGGGCAGGGGCGCACACACGCCCATGTCAGCTTCTCAGAGACTGGGTTTCTGCTCGAGGGTGGGGGTGGGGGAGCTGGGGGGGGCCACTCTGCTTGCTGAAATAATTCCCCGATAGCTCCTGAGAGAGGCCCTGTTTGCCCAGTTCATGGGACATGGGGAAGAAAGGCCGAAGGGACACAATTTCAGGAATTCCTCATTGGTCTGGCAACCCCGGGGACTAAAAGAGAGTTCTCCTGAAGTGACCTTCCCAGGAAACTGAAACTCGCTTTCTTCAGAGCCAACCTTTTCTCACTGAAACCTTAAAATTACACCCATGCGTGCGTTTTTAAAAAAAGATATCTCACAAACTTCTGAAATGCTAAGAAAAAGCATCAACTCTAAGAGGCACCCTTGATTTAAAACAAATGTCCCTTGGCAGGAGGAGGAGGGAGAGTGAGAAATAAACAACCCTTCTCAACACAGCCAAAGGGTCCCCAGACCTAGATCACTGCTGTTTTAGAAACATTAAAATGTATTATCTTTCCTTTAAAATATAGACAGATTTACAAGTTTAAAGCTAACTTTTGTAAGCTATCACATAGGAACACTGTTTTTATGTTTGAAAATGTAAAGCATTCTAGAGAGGCAGTATTATCAATTTGTTTTTTCCCACCACATTCTTAAAGATCCGTGTGATGGATCCTCGTAGTGTGAGTTATTCCCACAGAAACCCAGATTTCAACAAACTGCCTAAACAAACTCTGCAAGGGAATTGCGAGGTCTTTCCAGCAATGCCCTAGCTCCCCGCCCGTCTCACACCAAGAGATTTCACACTGTGCAGTGGGTCACTGCCAGGTGCTATGACCCTTCTCTGGAGTCTCCTCTCTCTCACACCTCAAAAAATCTCTTAGGAGGCAAGCAAGTGAGGACAGGATGTTCTAGATTCAGTCAATAATTAGCCAACTTCTACTCCTTTCTCTTTCAAGCACGATGCTATTCAACCATGCTTGATCCCCCAAAGGGCAATTTCACACGGTCTAACCTAATAGTATTGCTAATAAAACTGCTTCCCACACCCGTCACCCGGGGGCGGGGGTGAAGAGAAGCATGTGAGGAGGACACGCAGGAGCCGGGGCTGCGGTCACCGACGGTCCTGCATCACCGGGACCACGGCTGAAGGATGGCCCTGCGGTATTTCTGACCCAGAACTCTCTGCGCCTGCGCTTCAGTGGCCGCTGCGGCCACATGCTGGCTGACCGCGTCCTTTCCGTTTCTAATGGTCCTTCCCGCCTCTCCTCTCACCGAGTCCGAGCCTCCTTCCCGTGAGGCCGGCGCTGGGCCCCACGCCCCCACCTCCGGGAGCCTCCCCCACAGCCCCGCGCCCACCTGTTGGCCACGATGCTGGGGTAGTAGGCCTTCTGGTTCTCGTCCACCTTCAGGTCGCTCTGGCGGATGAAGCGCTCCTGCTCCTCAAAGGCGCGGATGACGCTGACGCCCAGCAAGGTCTCGTTGAAGTGGGAATAAACCGGCGAGCGGCTGACCGACTCGAGGCGCTTCAGCTGCCGGGAGGAGGCCACGTAGAACCTCTGGGGGAGAGAGCGGAACCGGGGGTGGGCGAGGGGCCCCTCATCCCATCCTCCCAGGGCCGTGCTGGACAAAGTCTGGACGTAAGTGACCCCTTGGGGGCGGAAGGCTGGACCAGGCTGCTTTCACCTGAGGAACGGCAAGTGTACTGACTACAACAGTAACCAGGGCGGCAGCAGTGATGGTGAGAATAGCTCACGCTCCGGTGGAGCCCGGATCTCTGCTAGCTCACTGGTGAAGAATCCGCCTGCAATGCAGGAGACCCCGGTTCAATTCCTGGGTCAGGAAGATCCGCTGGAGAAGGGAAAGGCTACCCACTCCAGTATTCTTGGGCTTTCCCTTGTGGCTCAGCTGGGAAAGAATTCGCCTGCAATGCAGGAGACCCCGGTTCAATTCCTGGGTCAGGAAGATCCCCTGGAGAAGGGAAAGGCTACCCACCCCAGTATTCTGGCCTGGAGAATTCATGGGGTCGCAGAGAGTCAGACACGAGTGAGTGACTCTCACTACACTGCATGTGGAGCCCAGCATCCCAGCACTGCTCTAAGCACCTTCACAGCCATCGGCTCTTTAATCTTCATCAAAAACCTATGAGGCGCTCATTCCTGTTTCACAATGAGTAAACTGAGGTCAACCTCTTCTTCCCTAAGGCCATGTGGCTAGGAAGTGGCAGAGCTGGGATTAAACACCAACAGTCCGGCCTCAAAGTGTTGACCTCAACATGGCATGGCCTCTCTGATGCCACTGACCCCGAGGGTTTATGGACCCCGCAGCGTTTCTTTAGGACAAGCAGACCTCGGCATAAACCCTGCCTCTGCCTGTCCCATGGGCAAAGACCATGTCCACTCTACTCCTGCCCTAACCCGGGTGTTCAGCTCGTTAAGAGACAGAACAAGACCCCCCGGGAGCGCTGAGGAACTGTGACCAAGGCTGGACTGGTCACTGAAGACCTTTGTTCTCCTGGCTGTTTCTGCATCTGTACAAAAGGACCCGAGGAGACCGAAGTTCCCTCTCCCAGACGTGCTGAAGACGTAACGTGTCTGCACTGGCCTCGTCAACAGCAGGGCCGGGCAAGTGGACACAGGCACTCAGGGCCACGACTCCTGCCCCCTGGGCTGTGCTGGGTGCCCTGGGCCATCTCGGGGCAGAGACCTTCCATGGGGAATGTGGAACAGAGTGGGTGGCTCTTAGGAGGCCTTCAAACTTTTTCTGGATGCCAGCTCACATGGGAATTTGAACTACCTGTTGCGGAGCCCTCTGGGGGCCCCAGAAACTCTGAAAACTAACCCAGGGGTCACACCAACCCAGGCCACCTCAGATCGGGGGTTCTGCCAATCCCTGTACATGCTCGGATGCCACCTGTCCTCCGGCGGCTCCCACTGCGCCTTGGGATGCACTCCAGACCCTGTGGTCTGGCTCGAGGACCCCGGCATCCTCTCCTGGGATCACCTCCTCTCCCGGCTTTCTTTCCTCCTGGGTAGAAACTGTTCTAAAACGTTTGACTTGCTCAAGTTATTCCACTTGTCATGTCCTCTGGACTTTATTTCCTCTAAAAAGTGAAACTGAGACTTATTTTTGTTATGGAATAGCCCGATTAAAAAAAATAATAATTATTAGCTTTCCTTTTAAGCTCTATTCCTGGAGAGAATCCACCCTGTGGACTCACCTGATTCTTCCAGACACCAAGGAGCACCTGGTGCTTGTGAGTGACAATGAATGTTCGACATACACCTGTCTTGTGCTGGGCTTGGGCTGAGAGCCAAGACACTAAGGCAAGTTTCAGGGAACTCTCACAGATGCCATGCAATTCCGGGAGCAGAAACAACTTATCCCAACAACCTGGAAGCCCCGACAGAATTCCACATCACCTTACCTCTTACATTCCTTTTCCTAAAAATGAACTGCAAACACTAATATATCAGTTCAGTTGAGTTGCTCAGTCATGTCCAACTCTTTGTGACCCCATGGACTGTAGCACACCAGGCTTCCCTGTCCATCACCAACTCCTGAAGCTTACTCAAACTCATGTCCATTGAATCGGTGATGCCATCCAACCATCTCATTCTCTGCTGTCCCCTCCTCCTCCTGCCTTCAATCTTTCCCAGCATCAGGGTCTTTTCCAATGAGTTAGTTCTTTGCACCAGGTGGCCAAGGTACTGGAGTTTCAGTTTCAGCATCAGTTCTTCCAACGAATATTCAGGACTGATTTCCTTTAGGACTGACTAGTTGGATCTCCTTGCAGTCCAAGGGATTCTCAAGAGCCTTTTCCAACACCACAGTTCAAAAGCATCAATTCTGTGGTGCTCACTTCCTTATAGTCCAACTCTCACATAGATATATGACTACTGGAAAAACCATAGTTTTGACTAGATGGACCTTTGTCAGCAAAGTAACGTCTCTGCTTTTTAATATGCTGTTTAGGTTGGTCATAGCTTTTCTTCTATATTTGAAAGTGAAAGTTGCTCAGTTGTGTCCGACTCTTTGTGACCCCATGGACTATATAGTCCCTGGAATTCTCCAGGCCAGAATACTGGAGTAGATAGCCTTTCCCTTCTCCAGGGGATCTTCCCAACCCAGGGATCGAACCCAGGTCTCCCACACTGCAGGCGGATTCTTTACCAGCTAAGCCACAAGGTAAGCCCAAGAATACTGGAGTGGGTAGCCTATCCCTTCTCCAAGGGATCTTTCCGACCCAGGAATCAAATCGGGGTCTCCTGCATTGCAGGTGGATTCTTTACCAACTGAGCTATGAGGGAAGCCCTCTTCTATATTAGTGTATATTAACTATTAATGTAGTATTAATATAGTGTAATTATATAGTATAATATACAATTAGTGTATATTAGACATACACTAATGTACATCCATTTAAAATTTTTTTCAAGTGATACATATATAGGATGATTAAAAAACCATTACATTAAGTCCATGATCCCTGAGATACACACTACTCAGATTTCAGTGTATAATGTTTTAATTCTTTTCCAGAGAGAAAGAACACCTATCCTTACACACGTACATCCTTAAAAGTCACTTTTTGAGATGCAACTTACTTCTACTAGAAAGTGCACTAAATCTTTACAGCTTGGTGAATTTAACGTTTATCTACACCTGTATATGCACCACCAGATCAGAATCTAGGAAACTGCCTCGTGTTCTCTCACAGTCAACTCCCCGTAGAGCCACTACTCTGACTTCTATTTCATCGCTCTTGCCTATTCTTCAACTTCATAAAAACAGAATCACACAAATGTACTCTTTTGTGTCTGGCTTATTCTGATCAACATAGTATCTCTGAGACTCATCCTCCTTGTGTGTACTAGTAGCTCATTCCTCTCTACTGCTAGGTCACGTCTTTTGTATAAATACACCATGATGTATGTATCTATCCTCCTGTGACTGACATTTGAGGTAATTATGAATCAAAACGCTAAGCACATTCTAGCCTATTTGTTTCTGTGATACAGTCTCTTGATTCGTTTTCAAAACTGTGTTTATTTACTTGGCTGTGCCAAGTCCCAGTTGAGGCACGAGGCCTCTTCGATCTTTGCTGTGGCATGTGGATCTTTGGTCGCGCCATTCAAACTGTCAGTTGTTTTATGTGGGATCTAGTTCCCCACCCAGGGATGGAACCCAGGCCCCCTGTGTTGGGAGCTCAGAATCTTAGCTGCTGGGCCACCAAGCAAGCCCCTCTCTTGGCATACACAGTGAGACTGCTGAGTTAAAGGAAGTCAACCCTGAGCTAAAGGATTCACTGGAGGGACTGATGCTGAAGCTCCAATACTCTGGCCATTCGATGTTTCAAAGAATCAGCTCACTGGGAAAGGCCCTGATGCTGGCAAAGATTGAGGGCGGGAGGAAAAGGGGGTGACAGAGGATGAGATGGCCAGACAGTATCACTGACTCAATGGACATGAGTTTGAGCAAGCTCCGGGAGATGGTGGGGGGCAAGGAAGCCTGGTGTGCTGCAGTCCAAGGGGTCACAAAGAGCTGGACACGACGTAGCCACTGAATAACAATACATAGTTAAAAGCTACGAGAAAAATTCTCCCATAATCTCTTTCTAAGGATTCGTAAGGCAATGTTTTCATTTTTCTACCTCCATTTCCAGTCCTGCCCACACACACTACGCATTTTGTCTTAGTTATAACGACAGTGTGCCGACAGCATGGGCCTTTGGCTAACTTCTTTCCCTTTGTTGTTTAAAAATAAAATTATTGGTGCTTCAACAGTGTGTTCCCAGTTCTCCTGTTAAAGAGATGTTAACAGTCCATTAGCACATTACCCATGGTGTGCTCACGGCCCTGCTACCGGCAGGTAGATATCTGAGCTGCCTCGAACGTCACAATGGGCCTCCTCTTTTGTTCTTTTGAATTGGGTCCTCCAGGAAAAGGTCCAGCCGGGGTAAGAACATGGCTAACATTTTTGGTAAATGCAGCTGGAGGACTTTCCACAAAAGCTGGCATCGATATAAAGAGAACACAGAAAGGTTCTGGGAACTGGACGAGCTCTGATTCCATCTTTGTTCACACTCACCAGTGCCGGGCCACAGCGTGGACGCCAAGCCACGGTGTGGGAGGGTGTGGGGTCTGGCTGACCCGGCCAAGGCCTCAAGAAACCCACACCAACAGGCCACACACAGTGCAGTGTGAGTACAGAGCACCCCCTGGTTTCTTACTCTTATTTTGTGCAGCAGTTGTTAGGCTCCCATCTAAACAGCAGTCTCCCGTTAGCATGTACGCTGCAGCTGCTTTTTTTAATTAAAAGAGTATTTTTACCAATATACATGTATTTGATGACTCTGAATTTAAACACTTAACAATCAGCATAAGCAAGGTAAAAAGGTGTCCTTTTCAGGGGCAGGAAAACAGTCATAGTTACAAGCTTAAACTGTGGAATCAGATGTGAGCTCACATTCCCAGTTCTGCCCCCTGGACCTCAACATGCTGATCTGTTAACTGGACACACCACAGTGAAGCTGACGCAGCCATCAAATGCTCCCTTACTCTGTTCCCCTTTCTGGAGCTTATTTGTGATGGCTGGAGCTCCAGTAGCCATCTTGGACCATGAAACCAACTTAAGAATGGAAGGCAAAGATGACAGAAACACACATACAAAAAACCCCCAAAACAAAACAGTGAAGGAGTCTGAAGCTACCAAACTCATCAAGCTGTCACATGTGTGTGTGCGTGCTAAGTCGACTCAATCGTGTCTGACTCTGTGCTACCCTACGGACTGTAGCCCACCAGTTTCCTCTGTTCATGGGATCCTCAAGGCAAGAATACTGGAATGAGTTGCCATGCCCTCCGCCAGGGGATCTTCCCAACCCAGGGACTGAACCCGCATCCTTATGTCTCCTGCATTGGCAGATGGATTCTTGACCACTAGAGCCACCTGCGAAGCCCCGAACAGCACACCTCTAAACTTCTATTATGGCTTCCTTGGTGGCACAGGTGGTGCAGAATCTGCCGTGACCCAGGTTCAATCCCTGGGTTGGGAAAATCCCCTGGAGAAGGGAATGACAACCCACTCCAGTATCCTTGTCTGGAGAATCCCATGGACAGAGGAGCCTGGTGGGCTACAGTCCATGGGGTCACAAAGAGTCAGACAAGACTGAGCAACTCACACTTCCACATTCACTTTCAGATCTCTACTACAGGGGAAAAAAAATATCAAAGCTGTTATTATTCATGTCTCCATTATCTGCCTATGACCTAAAGAATTTCATACTTAGAGAAAGTTTAATAATAAAGATGACTTCGTGGCTATAGCTTATTTCCTTTTAAAACTTTGAGCTTAAAAAAACCCTTATTATTAGGAAAAAAGGATGTTTGGTTATTGTAAGCTGAAAACCATCAACTTAGGTATTCAAAACCAACAAAAACAAACCTTAACCCTCCTCTGAGACATCCTCCATAACCTCACGCTGGGGAAGCTTAAATGGTCCCCATTTAAGTTAAAAGTAAAGTAAAAAGTTTAAACCATTTAAACTTAAGTGGTTCTCACCAGACAGCGACACAGAGCAGCGCTTGTCCTGGACCCCAGGACCCACCCCTCACCTGCACTAAGAAGTAGATGAGGCCCAGGGGCGGGATGATGACTGCAGCCATGGGCGTGGCCAGCAGGATGATGATGCAGGCGCCGATGACGTTGAACAGGGAGCCCATGAACATCTTGATGACCTGTGGGATCATCGAGTCCACCGTGTCCAGCTCCTTGGAGAAGCGGTTCACCAGGTTCCCGCTGGGGGTCCGCTCGAAGAAGCTTATGGGCGACCGGAGGACGTTATGCAGCAGGTCCAGGTGCAGGCGGCGGGAGGCCAAGATGCCCCCGATGGACACCGCCATGGAGTAGCCGAACACCGAGATACCTACAAACACTCTCATGTCAAACTCCACGGTGGGAGAGGGACCAAGCGGGGCCAGGGGCGAGGGGCTGTGTGACCATATGGACAAAGCAACCTGGACTCCCAGCTTCTAATAACAATAATGGTGGCAATTATTACCCAGCACATACTATGTGCAAAACTCACCGTGTCTTTTACGTGCATCTAATCCTTATGAGGACCCTGCATATGTTCTATTAGTACCCATGTTACAGATATGGAAGAATACTGGCGTCGGTAGCCTTTCCCTCCTCTAGGGGAATCTTACCAACCCAGAGATCAAACCCTGGTCTCCCGCATTGCAGGCGGATTCTTCACCAGCTGAGCCACAAGGGAATACCAACTAAAGCTCAGATGGGCGAATCCCTTTGCCCTCCAGAAGAGGGTGGGCTTGGAGCCACACTGCCTTGCTCAATGCCAGCTCTGCCATGAATAAGCTGTGTGACTGAACGCTTCTGGGCCTCAGTTTCTGCATCTCTAAAACAAAGAAAAATGAGCTCCTACCTCATGTGACTGTTGCAAAAGTAAAATAAAACACCCTAAAGTGTTTACAACAGAACCAGACACCAAGTAAGTGCTGAGTAAACGTTAGCTATTACTGGTAATGCTGCTGTGTCTGGGGATCTTTGTGGGACCACAGGAAGGGTATACACAGGATTTCTCAGCGTCCTCACTGTTAACCTCTGGGGCTGGATCATCCTCCGTTGTGGAGGCCGCGCTGGGCACTGCAGGATGTTTAGCGACATTCCTGGCCTCTAGGTCCCAGCAGCACCTGCCCCCACAGGGAAGCTGTGACAGCTCCAAGTATCTCTAGATATGACTAAACTCTGTAAGTATCTCTAGACATGAGGGTAGCATTGCTTGCATTACGAACCAGAAGTAGAAACTAATTCCCACCTTTGTGCAGGAGGCAAAAGTCCACAAATAGGACTTCACAGAAACTCCATCACCCTGCCAGAACAATGAGGGGCAAGAGTCCTTGGTCACCTTCTATTTCTCAACTTAACTCATCTGTAAAATAGGCACGTTGGAGCTCCCTTCCCCTCTGTCTCCTAGAGCCACATGAAACAGCGCATTCAAAAAACGTTCATTCTGCAAATATCTGAGTGTCTATTATGTGATAGTTACTGTGTGTTTGGCTTGATTTGTGGGTCTGACAAAACCCTGACAAGTTGGGGGACCTGATTCTATAACAAGAAATGGAAGCGGCTCCAAGTGCCAAGAGCAGGTGAGGGGCAAGGCAGGCTCACCTTGTGAAATGCCCAGGGCTCCATAGACACTCAGCCTGACTTGCGTGTGCTCCTGGGTCCCGTTGACGATGGGGTCATCCGTCCAGAGACTGAGCCAATAGTTAGAAGCCAGGGAAGCCACGTGGTTACACAGGAAAAGGAAGATGCTCAGAAAGGAGATGAAAAGCCCAATCGCCTTCATGTAGTCCCAGTACACGGACAGCTTGACCTGGGACCAGGAGAGAAGGCATCTTACAGAACACACCCACCAGCCATGCCTACCCAAGGTCAGAAGCCTCAACAGACCCTGTGCAGTCCAGTGCCCCCACCTAAGCTCATGCCTACAATCCTCTTCCCCTTCAGTTACTTGGCAAAGAAATCAGCAGAAGCAAAGCCAACGTTTCTGCCCCCACGGAACTTCCAGTTGAGCAGTGAGACAGGCTTTCATCAGATAACTGCCCAGATAAATGCATAATCCCAGAGAAGGGCTGGAAGTGGTACATGATTCCACGGCAATATAAAACTGGGTATCCTGACCTAACCCAGGGTGGAGAGGAATCAGAGGAGGTTTTCCATAAGGAAGGGACATCAAAGAATTAACCAGATGAAAATGAAAAAAAAAAAAAAAAAGGCATTCCAGGCACAGGGATCAACATGTGCAAAGGCCCTGAGGTAGAAGGGACGCAGAAAGGAGGCAAGGATAGCTGGAGCGTGGTAAGGCTGGAGAACAGGGAGTGGCTGGACCACACAGGACCCGAGAGATCCTGTCCAGGATTAAGTTTTACTCCAGGACTATCAGGAAGGCATCGAAGAGTTTGAAGAAAATGGGAAGATGGGATATGTTGCCTAGTAACCATGACCAAGTGTCACATCCACTACCCCCACCCTCAGTCCTCAGACCATGCCACTGGCTTCCAATCACTTGGCCCTTGCTCAACCTGTTTCCCAGCTCCACGGAGTGACAGCTGGGGGCCTCTCTCACCCCAGTGTCTCCTGTGGAGCCCAGCGTGGGGGCCATGTAATCACGTGTGGTCACTCAAAGGGCAGCTGCACACCACGGGTGGGTGCAGTGTGCTCTGGGTCAGCCTGACACCCAACCTGCTCGGTGTGGATTCAGCAAACGCCGGGTATCTTTCCCTGTGTGTGCTCCCTGTCATGTCAGGCTTTTCATGAGGGTGGACTAAACGGGATTAGTGCCCTCATAAAAGGGATCCCTCACCCTTCTGTCCTATGAGGACACTGCGAGAGGATGGCCATTTACGAACCAGGGAGCTCTCTCACCAGACACTCAATCTGCTGGCGCCATGATCCTGGACTTGCCAACATCCAGAATTATGAGCAATAGATAAATGTATGTTGTTTCTAAGCCACCTGTACCATGGTCTTCTGTTATAGCAGCCCAAAGGGACTAAGACAGGTGCTAAAAACAAAGCCCAGCTGAGACCTTCTCACTGATAAACAGGCACATCTCAGACACTTGGAGGCTTGGTTTCAGACTACTGCAAAAAATCGAATATCCCAATAAACTGAGTCACATGAATTTTCTGGTTTCCTAGTGCATATAAAAGCTGTATTTATGCTCTACTGAAGTCTATTAAGCGTGCAATAGCACTATAACTAGAAAAACAATGCACACACTTTAATCAAAAAATATTTGGTTGCTAAAAAGTGCTAATCATAATTTGGGTCTTTGGTGAGTTGTAGTAGTAATGTCAAAGATCACAAATATTACAATGTTAACATAGTACAACAATAACAAATATTTTATATAATAACAAACTATAATAATGATAAAGTTTGAAATATTCCAAGAACTACCAAAATGTGGCACAGAGACCCAGCATGAGCAAATGCTGCTGGAAAAATGGCACAAGATTGCCACACACCTTCAGTTTATAAAACACACAGCATTTGTGAAGTGCAACAAAGCCAAGGGCCATAAAACAAGATCTGCCTGTAATAAGGGCAAAAATACAAAATAAAAAGAAGTGAAAAACAATCTTTTCTGATGACACAATTAACTACCTCAGGGCTGCGTCTGTGATGACTTGAAACCCACCCACACACAGCTGACCCCCGTGAGGCTGGAGCCTGGATTCAAGGCATCGCGTCATCTATGGCTACCGAGGCCCCAGCTGCTCAAAGGAGGCAGCCATCAGGAAGGCAGAGGCTATCGGTGACCACCCTGGAGTCTGAGAGTTGGGTTCACACCCCAGCTCTGTTGCTCACCAGCTGTGACCTGTGGCAAGTCACCCTGGCCCTCCACCCTGGTTTCCAGCGCTTAAAACAGTACCTTTCAAGCCTCCTGGGGAGGAAGACGTGAGCCAAGATGACCGCACCCCAACCAGGGCCCAGCTCCCACAGACACACAGCAACCTGACCACTGTCCTCACCTGCCCCGTCTGAGCCTTGTCCGCCTCCACGAGCTTCCAGGTGTCCTCGGTGGGCCCGGGCTTCTGCAGCTCGGAGGTGCTGGTGTGGTGCCGGCTCACATCCCCGCTGTAGGAGGAGGAGCTGCTGAGCTGCCTGGGGAAGCAAGGCACGTGGACATGGGTGTCCCCAGAGGGAGGCCCTGGGCAGGGTCGGGGGCCTCCCCCCAAGCACCAGGCCTTGTTCACTCCTCTGATTTTACAGAGAAGACCATAGAGGGGACGGGTCTGGCCCCAGGGTTCCATGGGAGAACTATTCCTTTAGGCAGATTTTATTCAAAAAGCATCTCCCCTCCACCCCCACCCCGTGCTCATCAGCTTTATGCGGATCATGACAGATCATCGCCCAGAGAGCTTTCCTCCCTGGGGAGATGTGTGCTTGAGGGATGACGTGGGGTGTGTGTGTTCGTATGTGTGTATGTGTGCACACATGCATGTGCACACGGCTCAGATTCACAGGAGCAAAGGGATGGGGTACGACTTCCACTTTGCAGTCAACTCTACTGCCTTCTTTGTCTGTCTGCCCTGATGCGGTGAGCGTGGAGGTGGGAGAGGCCCAGGGGGCTGGAGGCGGAGGGGTCCTCCAGGATGCGGCCGGTTAGGGACTGAGGAATGGAGTCCTGCCAGCAGCCTCGTGCATTTGGAAGCGGATCCTTCCCCAGACGAGCCTTCAGTTGATCACCCCAGCCTGGCTGATGCCTTGGTTACAGCTTTTGAGAGACCCTGAGCAGAGAAGCCAGCTGAGCTGTGCCCAGACACCCCGACCCATAGGAACTGAGATGACAGACCACTAAGCTTGTGATCACTTGTTACGCAGCAACAGAAAAATGAATACCCAGTGCGCTGTGAATTTCCGCTCGGTCCACCCATGGTGCGCTACTGCAAGTGTCCCGTGGTCATCCACTCCGACATCCCAGGATGGCCTGCAGGCGCCTGCCCCATCTCAGCTAAGCCTTACCTTATGCTGGCCGCCTGCACAGACCAGGGCAGTGCCCCCTCAGCCCCCGCATGCTCCAGGCGAGGCACTGTTAAGAGTGCTTCACACACACACACACACATGTCGCACTCACACCCTGACTGCTGCCCCAGCAGAGAAGGAAGAGTGTCATATATGACACATAGCTGGGCCCAGGAGGGGACTGCAGGCAGGGTTCTGAGGGGCACAGATGCTCATGCTAATTTTCTTCCCAGCCCGTGTCTGTGAAATCCCCCCACCCCAAAAGAAGCAACCCCAGGCAGCTCCAGCTCACCTAAATAATAGCTGAGCAGCATTTACTGAGCGCCGGAGGCAGGAGGCACCATTCTAAGTGACTACATGCCGTATCACAGAGGCCTTCCTACAATCCTGCATGGGAGGGGCGCCAAAGGCCCTATTCGACAATGGAGGAAACCAAGGCACAGACAGGTTAATGCCCCTCCTCCAAATACCCCACGATCTGACCAAATGCAACCTTCTTTAAAGCACCAAAGCATAAAACTTATGAGCACTGGCTCAGAGGCTGAACTTGGGTTCAAATAGTCAAGCTTGGCTTCTCTCCGGCTGTATGGCCTGTGGACAGCTCTCAGTCTGCCTACCTGTAAAATGGGAAGATGAGAGAAACGACCTCCAGGTTTATGGACTATACAGGACTTGGCATTGCACCTGGCTCCTAATGGCACATAAAATGCAGCTGCTATTGTTACTGTGACTATTTTGAATTGGCTGCTGGTTCTTACAGCCCCAACATTCCAGGCCCCGCTGAGTGACTTGAGCAAAGAGCCACGACATGTAGGGAGCTTGAGTGTCAGAAGCACAGACGGACGGTTAAATCTAGCCGTGAGGCCTGCGTGAGCCATGCCCCCTGGCAGGAGCACAACGAGGCTTCCCCTTTGGGCCTTTGCTCTCTGGGAAGTGAGGTTCCGCCAGAATTCGGGGTGTGGGGCGGGGGAAGCAGAAGCTAAAGGCCTTTTTTTGGCGGTGAGCCTTGCTGCGGACACCCTGTTCCTCCTCCCTCACAACTGGCAGGGGGAGACACGTGGTGCTGGGAGAATCCACAGGGTCCCCCAGCCCGCTCCATCTCACCTCTGCATTTGTTTCCCTGCTGTGTCCGTCACCAGCATGCCGTTCTCCATCTGTTTCACCTCCTTCCCTGGACCACCGACGCCTGCCAAGCCTGGCAGAAAGGAGGAGGGGGCGGACGGTGATTTCAAAGGCTGGACACTAACATCTGTCACCATGTGGGGAGATGGCAGATAACCTGGCCGCCAGGAGGCTCAGAAAGCAAGACCTGCTTTGCAGCGGCCACAGACAGACTCCCTGGCTGGCCAGCTCTCTCAGGGACAGGGACAGTGTTTTGCAACCATCTCAAGAGCCCTGAGCAAGTGCCCTGTGCCAGCAGCAACCAGGAAAATCCAGTTTTGCTGATGGTCTCTTGGCAGTATGCAGCCTGGCTCATGGAGTCAGGACACAAACGAACCACGCAGGGGAAAGGACACGCTCTTCTGGTCCCCAAGCATCAGTGAAATCCCAAATACGTAACAACCCCTTATAGACAAGGGCATCAGATACTGGAGTCCCAGGCGCCCCCAGCCAAGGGGTTAACCCATTGGTTGCCAGATCAAGGGGAGGTCCTGAAGATCGGAGTTAGGGGTTACCTGGGACTGCTGGGGCAGTGGCTGTTCTCCCAGTAATACGGAACTATTCCAACAACTGATACAGGCGCCATGGGCACACCAGCTGGGTATCTGCTCCAATCCCAGGAAGTATCCGCCCAGCATTAACACTGATCCCTGTCACCTTAGAGACAGTGGCTGACATTTATTCAGTGTCAGCTGCTGTGTTCTGCTGAAATACATTATCTCCTTTAATCTTCCGACAAGTCAGGGATGTGTTTATTACCACCCACTCTGCACTGACTTCCGCACTCTTTGGTGCCGGGAGACAGAGAGCAGGAGAGAGAACATAACGCAGGACTCCGAAGGGCTGACCCCGGAGGAGGATGTAGGAGAGAAGTTACGAAAGGGTATGAATACACAGCCAGCAGTGAACCTGCGAACATGCTGATGTGACAAGAATTAAAGCAGAATCCAGAAAGATAGATTATCTCAGGCAACAGCCACGGGAAGCGACAGACGATGGCAAGGAAACCGGGCTGGGGGTCGTGCCTGGGCCGATGGGGGAGCTCTGAGCCAGTGATTCTCAATCTTGGCCATGCGTGAATCATCTGGGGATGCCCTGGGGCCGGCCCTGGTCCCTGTGCTGACTCCACGCTGCGAGCAGTCAGGGGGCTGGGGGCTGGGATGTGTGGGACGTGCTCCTTCACCTCCTAGCTGTGTGAACTGGGGAAGCAATGACCCTCTCTGAGCCTCACTTTCCACATTTGCAGAATGGGAAGAACAGCAGCACCAGCCCCCATGAGCGGGAGGAAGAAATGAGGCTGTGCTTGGTGAATGGAAGACAAGGTCGTGGTGCGTACTGTTATCTACATTGTTAAACCTGTCCCATAGATAATTCTGGGGCACATCCATGACTGAGAATCACTGTTTAAATGTTTCCTTTATAATCAGCATCTTTTTAAATTGGGGAAAAAAAAAAAACCTAAAACAAACAAAAAAGAAGAGTGATAACAGGCAGGACTTCCCATGCAGCGGCCTGCAGACAGCGCACACACACATGCATAGCACTGGGGCCCAAGCCTGGCCTCGACTGTGTTCCGCTGTGCAGGGTGGGGGTGCTTTACAACACTCCCAGAGACCCCCATCTTGCAGCAGGTACTTCAGAGAGCTCCCTGTCCTGCCTGGCTGCCCAGGCGCCCTCTGGAAACCTCAGCCTTCCCTCCCCGCTCCTGCTTCACATGCAGTGCAGGTCCCCACAGTGGCCTCCATGGTGGCCTCTTCATTGAAACCCTATTAGCCCACTGGCGATACACCAACTGGGGCAGCTGGATAACCTTTGTCTGCAAGGGTGGGACTGTGAGTCCCAGGAGGAGAATGGGAATGTGTGCGCTACATCGTCCTGTTCTTTGCAGGGGATTTTCCCCCTTCCCCAGTCTCCCAGACCTGTCTCCCAGGATGCCCAGGCTTCCCAGCCAAGGGGGAACCTGCCCAAGGTCAGCCCATCAGGACCCCTCCCCCAGAGGACTTTAAGTGGTGGCCCCACAAGGACCAAAGATCTGTACAACTGCTCTGTCCCCAAAGGAGTCTCACGTCCAGAGCTCCCAATGCCCGAGCCTTGATTATCCACTTTTGCCTTTGATTTCTGCTATCTGCCTTTGACTTCCTTTTGCTACTTGGTATCTTTCTGGTAAACACCCTTGTTTAAGTGGCCAAAATCAGCTTCAGTCGCTGTCAAAAGGGGGCCTTGGTGTGGACCCTCAGCCACACACTGCTGGCTCTGGAAGGCAAGAGGCATGGGTCTGCTCTGGGGCCAGTTCATGCCTTTCTGTCCCTAGAGGGAGACCGGGCAGCCTTTCCTGCTCAAGTTCTTCTAGAAGACATGCCACCTCTGGGCACCCCTGACACCTGCAGCTACTCCATGAGGGGCTCATCACCCTGTGCTTGGGTCTTAATCATGCCCAGGAGGTGTGGGTGGGATCGTAATAACCAAACCATCACCATGCATCTTCCACCTACTGGGTGCCGGGCATTTCACAATCAGGATCTCTTTCAAGGCTCACTGGCCGTGGTCATCGGACCTGCGACAGTACAGCTTAGCCAAGGTCACTCAGCTGACCAGTGAGAGATGGGGAGATTCGATCTGTATCCCCAAGTGACAATCACAAAGCTAGGACACAGTAGGTGCCCAATAGATGCTGGATGAATGATGGAAAGGGATGGAAATGCAGACGTTCAAGGGCCCCTCCCCAGGCATGCAGCAGCAGGACAAGTCATGTGCAGCCTCGCGCTGCAGGCACAGCCAACTCCAACCCGCTGTCACTGACCTTCCTCCTCATCCACCACGTTGGTGCCTAGGAATTCACAAGACCCAAGAGAGTGTTAAGACCAAGGCAAAAGAACCCTCCCCGTGAGACCCCCATTTAAATGCCCAGAGAGGGTGGATGAGTGTTTTTCCTTAAAGGTGACGGGCAAGGACAGCTAAGGGACTTGTTGCATTTGTGCCTCGGTTTCCCCGTCCCACATGATCTGGGTGTATCCCTGACAAGCA